TCAGGCTGGACAGGAGTCACCCACGCACCTTCCTCTGAGGCTGATGGGCAGCTGCTGGGGGCTGTGGCCCAGATGTTGGGGTCACGCAGCCCTGGCTTTGTCCTCTGGCCTCGTGGCTTTCATAAAAGGCCGTGAAGATACAAAGACTGCGGTGCGGTTGGGCTAGGTCCACCCTCAGCCTGCATGATCATCCTTGACAGCTGGTCCATATCCCCAGGAAGTAGCCAGCACTGACATCCCTGTAGCAGCTGTTGGGGTGGGCCTCAAAGCCATCTGGAAGTTTCCAGGTCTCATGGAACACTTACATAACTGTTTGAAGGGGAAGTTTGGAGTTTGGAAGATGGTCAGTTCAGGGGCCAAGGGCAGGCTGAGAACTCTGCTCCCTGGTCAGGGCAGGGCTGGCCCATCCTCACAAGTCTTTGCTGGACCTCCACGGTCAGGAGAATAATAGCAGAAACCTTGTGTCTTGAATGAGTGCCTGGAGCATCTGTGGGCCCACCAGGTTTAAGGCTTTTGGAACAAGAGCCATGTTGGCCTGGGTGGTAAGTGCTCCAAGGAGGTAGCCTCTACCATCTGAAGGACCATCACTTGCTAAATTTTCTGTTGTTTCCACACAGAGAGGCTACTCAGGGAGTAAAACTGGCAAGCCCCACACTGTCCTATGCATGGTGATGGGCCTGTGTCTCCGTGCCGGTGTGCCACACCAGAGGCCGAAGCTGCCGCTGCTGGCCTGTACTGGTGACTGCTACATGTCAGCAACCCTGGGCAACATTACCAAGCCTGTCGTGAATGCTGTCTTAGGCACTGTTCTGTTGCCGAGAAGAGACACCAAGACCAAAGCAACTCTTATAAAAGAGAGCATCTAACTGAGGGCTTCCTTCCCATTTCAGAGAGTTAGTTCATTATCATCTTGACAGGGAACCTGGTAGGGAGCATGGCAGGCCGATATGATGCTGAAGAGTTAGCTGAAAACTATATCCACAGGCAGAGACAGAGAAAGAGTGGGCCTGGCATGGGCTTTTGAAACCTCAAAGCCCACCTCCAGTGACACACCTCCTCCATAAGGCCACACCTCCTAATCCTTCTAATCCTTTCAAAGAGTTCTACTTCCTGGTGACTAAACATTCAAATATATGAGCCTATGAGGGACATTCTCATTCAAACCACCCACAAATGCCACTGAGACCACCACCTACCTGACCTCTGACCTCTGGAAAAAGACCATATCCACCAAATCTCCCTATCAGGAACTCACTAGACATCTAGTGAAAACCCACAACACAGACCCAGGCTTTGCTATAGCTACCACACAGGGATTTTAAAAAAATTATTCTTAATATTTGTTTGCTTGTTTGTTTATATGACACAGGATCTTACCATGTAGACCAAGCTGGCCTCACACTCGCAGAGAACCTCCTACCTCTACCTCCTAAATTCTGAGATTAAAGGTATATGCCACCATGCCTGGCCACGGAAGGTTTTTATACAACAAATGTGAACTAAAATGACCTGCTTTTATAAACGGGCCACTGTTCTGTAGTCATAGCCAGATGATTGTATCAGGGAAGAGACAGCAAAAGCTAAAACCAGTGAGTGAGGGTTTTCTAGAGACCAGGGTACCCAAGCTTCCTCTATATAAAATTTTATTTATTTATGTATTTAGTTAGTTATTTTTGTTTCATTTTGATTTTTTTGAGATAGGGTCTCATATTCCCCCGGCTAGCCTCAAACTTACTATGTGACCCAAGCTGGCAGAGAGTTACAGCCTGAGCTATAGAGCAGGTTGGAAGCCAGCCTAGGCTACAAAGTGAGTTACTGTCAAAATAAAACAAAAACCAAGAAAGGGAGTCTCACATCTGGTATTTCTTTTCTTTTCTTTTCTTTCTTTCTTTCTTTCTTTCTTTCTTTCTTTCTTTCTTTCTTTCTTTCTTTCTTTCTTTCTTT